TCAAGATTATCTTCTGTGTCTGTGTTAATTGGTTTCCCTTTTCTTTGTTGAAGAGGGTCTGTGCAATCCTTCTGCCTAGTCCGCCATCTTGCCCCGCAGTGTACCGCTACATATGTATTTACACATGCTGCAAATACATCCAAGAATACATTAGCGCACTGCAAAAAGGACATGGGAGCAGTGTTGTTCCAACCTCCTCTAACTTCACAAGAGGGGAAGAGGATCAAGAACATAGGGGCAGCCCAAGCTGGTTCCTATAAGGAGTAGGTCAGACAAGCCATCACCCTCTAACCCTTTTAATCAATTCTGACATCAACTGTCCCTCCCACACACTCTCTACTTCTCTGTTGGGTTTGATAATTCTTTGCAATGGACACAAAGAACTCATAGACAATACTCATGAGTATGGAGTTTTGTGTTAGACTGGGTTATCTGGAGAAGCAAAACCAGTAAAGCTTGTATGTATAGAGAAAGGGAAATTTATCTTAGGAAAATGGCTCACACGCTTATAAAAGCTGGCAAGTCCAAAGTTCTTGGATCAAATGTCAAGCTGGAGGCTTTTCCCAACTCATGCAGGGGCTGACAAGCTCAAGGTTGGCAGGCAGTATACTGGCTGTTGACTCCAACGAATGACGTATCCAAGATCTCCAGGCCAAATGGTAGATTGTTCTCTCAAGGACAGTTGTAGGCAGCACAACAGAATCCTGATCCACAGAAGAGTGTCTCTTTTCCCAGGATGTCCATAAATATACTGGGTGCAGGCCACACCCCTAGGGAAACTCCCTTTCAACGGATTAGCTGCTCAAAACATATACATCTGATCCCATCATTGGAACAACCCATATCACATTTCCACAGAATTGTGGTCCAACCAAGTTAACACACAGCTCTTTATTAGAGAAATTACAATTTAGGTTCAGGAATGCTCAGGATACAATTCTTCAGTCAGGACAAGTTTCTTCTCAGCCATGTCACAGGTATGCTTGTCTCTGGCCTCGGCCTCTGTCATGCTCGGGCCAGTGTTACAAAATTCTTCTATCTTTCCCAAAGAAGCACTCCACTCTGCCAGCAAGCCTCCTACTCAAAGGCGCTCATCTTTATTGCTCCATGGGCCAGAAAGCCCACCACTCCATCTCTTGTTGGTCTCTTGGTTCTGCTGCCTCTGTTTCTTTGCTATCTAAGTACAAGGATCATGGGTCCAAGGACATTGGCTTTTCTTCTGTCTGTGGTAGTGAGATCTCCCCTTTCCACTTCAGAGGTGGATCATTTCAAGCCTAGTGGAATGCCAAAACTGACCAATCCCCACATTATGGTTCCATACAAATTATTTCCATGGTCCCACTCTCACAAGGGTGCCATGTACCTTATTTACATTATTAGCAAGCTATCCAATTCCGTTGATGGGCCACAAGCACCTCACATTTGCACAGTTCCACCTAGTCATCTGGTGGGAGTCACAAAGACCATGGCTAGAAGAGCCATACTAAGTAATTTGCTGCACCACAAGAATGAGTGTGTGTGTGAGTGTGTGTGTGTTATGTGCCGTCGAGTTGGACCTGACTCATAGCGACCCCTCCTCGGGTTTCCGAGGTGGTATCACTACGGAAGTAGATTGCCCAACCTTTCTTCCAAGGAGTGGCTGTTGGGTTTGAATCACCAGCCTTCTAGTTAGCAGTCAAGTAAGTGCCTTAGGCACTATGCTACCAGAGGGGATAAAGTTATAAAAACTTCTTAGCCATAACCAAAAACCCTGAGGTAATGAGTCTATGAGCCTGGAAACTCAGAACCATAGTCTCAGGCAACATCAAGATTAATTGGCACAACATAGTCCACAAAGACAATGCTCTACATCCTACTTGAGTGATTAGTGACTGGGTTTTTAAAAGCTTATGGGTGTCCATCTAAGGTGCACCTATTTGTCTCTCTCCATCCAGGGCAAAAAAGAGTGAACAAAATAAAAGACACGTGGAACCAATTAGTCAGTCCAAAAGATTACTGGACAACATGAACATCAGCCTCCACGGCCCTCAAACCTTAAGAACTAGATGGTGCTTAGCTACCTCTACCAACTGCTCTTAAAGGGATCATCACATCAGAAGGTCTTGGATAGCATGGGAGAAAAATGTGGAACAAAACTCAAAATTAAAAAAAAAAAGAAGAAGATGACCAGGCCTACTGGTCAAATAGAGAAACCTCTGAGACTATGGCTCTTGGTCACTCTTTGGACCTGGAACTGAACTCACTCCCAAACTGAATTTTCAGTCAAACAATAGACAGGTCTACAAGGTGAACAATAACTCTAGGAAGGTAGACACTCCTTAGAACAATCAACCTTTCAAGATCAAAAGGGCAGCATTTGTACAAAGACAAAGTTCAGAAGGCAGGAAAGGTTAGGAGAGAAGGAGGAATGGAAACGAGAAACACAGGGAGGATGTGGGAGGAATGATGTTACATTAAGAGGATTACAATCAATTATATGAAACAAAATGTGTGTGAATTGTTGAATGGAAAACTGATTTCCTCTATAAACTTTCACCAAATCACAATGAAAGTCTTAAAAAAAAGTCTCTCTCAATAGATTAACATTAACAATTAAAATATTGAATGATTACAGAAATACTTTTTTGTTGTTACGTGCTGTCAAGTCAGTCCTGACTCATAGCGACCCCTCCTTGGGTTTCCAAGGTGGTATCACTACGGAAGTAGATTGTCCAACCTTCCTTCCAATGGAAATACTAGTAATTTAAATTTACATGTGTAAAAATATTAAATGATCCCTCCCCCACCAACCTAGATCATAAAAGTAGGCCAAATAAGGACTTCAACTATCAAGGCTGGAGAAAAGCAAAAGTAGCCCACAGTGGCCCCAGACCTGGTGAGTGGAGTATCCTAAGACTGGAGGATACCACCCTTTTCCCTCAGTGGTTGACTGCTTAGCCTGGAATATACAACCATGGTCAATAGGCCTCCTGGACCCAAACAAAACATAGCTTTCTGAAAAGCACATGTTCTTTGGAGTCAGAAACACTGCCATTTTTTGGCTGGGTGATTTCAGGTGTCATCTTAGACTTGACGGATTTCACTATGAATGTTATTGGAGATTAAATGAGTTTGTGCTCTAAAGAACCTAGTGTAGAGTCTCATAGTTCATAAACACTTAATAAAAGGGAATTCTCTTATTCTTTCTCCTTGCTCACCATGACAGCTTCTGAAATCTCATTCACTGGCTGTTACTAGTGCCAAACCTCCAGATCTCCCCATACTGTTTAACTCCAACTCAGCTTCTTTGGCTTCACTCATTTCAAGCCCCCTCTTTTTAAATAAATACAGGATTTTCTGTTTAAGGAGGGGTCACTGTGAATCAGATCTGACTTGACAGCAGTGAGTTTGGTTTTTTAAATCATCAAATATTTATTAAGTGACTATTCTGTAAAAGATTCTGTACCTCAAAGGTTACAAAGATGAATGAGACACAATCTCTGGTTTCAAAATCTCTAGAAAATGAAAAATTATTCCAGAGATTAGATATAGTGAGTTCCTAATATCCTATTTAAATTTAAGGTTTTAAAGGTGTTCTTAAATCTGCTCAGACCCTTGGTGGTCCTCTTCCTTTCCTCTCGCCTCTCCAAAGTTCTACTTCTTTGTTATGACACAGGTTCCAGAACTTTCATAGACCACACTTCCATAGTCTGCTTAGGTCTGATCAGCCTGGGCCACCCAATTTTCTCAGCAATCCTCTGCATCCTTGGCTACAAGGACCCCCTAACACACACTCAAGTTCATGCTGCTCAGAAGCAGTGAGCTTGAGTTGATCATTTTATTCTGATCTCTCTTTGATGAAGAAATCCAGATGACACAGAACCCACCAAAGACAGTTACAAGAAAATGGCAGTCTTGGGTATGGACCAACTCTCTCTCTGAGGTTTCACTGCCCCTATTTGAGGAGTCAAGTCTTCTCTTTAGGGACTTTACCACAACTGCTTTAGCTTTCCTTGCCTGCCTTCTTTTCAAATTCAGTATCCTTTCTTTCACTTTGATTCATCTGAGAGCCTGGGAAAACAACCCCACACAGTCAATGCACCTCTAGAGTAATGGTAACGACTTCATGGTAATGACTTCTCTTTTGGTTTCTAAGGTCTGAATTGATGAAAGGAAGTAACCATCCTCCATAATACTATGAAAATTCCTCAAGCCTTTATGTCCTTTCCTGTAGTGTTGTTTGCTTTATAATCTGCTTCAACTCTTAAGAAGTAATGACTTCCTCAGAATGGGAGTAGGTCATTTTTTAGCTGCCCAATGGTAGTTTTCAGATACTACTCAATGGGGAGCACTACATGCCATAGATTTGATTTGAGTACATCACCTTGTTTTCCCTGCCTCTGCTAAGGATTATTTCACATTCAGTCACAAAACTCTGACTTGCATGCCAGAGGCCAGACTAGTTACTGTTCATTTTAGTAATGGATCAGAAGCAAATCTCTGAAAATTAATTTGGTGGTGGGGGAATATTCTCATATAAACTAACACCTAAAGATTCAATATACATGTGTCTAATCTGGCCCAACTGGAGATGTGTTTTTGCATTTGAGGTGGATTTATCTATTGCTTTTTTTCCAGTAGCTTTAATCCTGGTGTAGTTGATTTACTTAGCCCCTTAGAGTTCAAGTTCTTCAGCATTTTTCACAAGTTGACTTATGGTTAGTTTGCTCACCCTTCTTTTCTTCCTTTTTTCTTTTCTTTCTCCTAAAGCCTTCGAAGTCTATGTTCTTCAAGACCATAGAAAGGTATTTAATTAACACAGAAAAAAAAGCACAAGCTAGACAGTCCCAACATACCTTCTCCATTAACCACAGTAACAAACCTCACAAATATCCATCTTACCATAAGGGATGGTTTGAGAGTGATGAGGGTAAGATCTTTCCAATTGATAAGAAATTTCTGACCTCTGCAGTGGCTTTCATAATATGACCATCTTCAGTCAGCATCCTCTAGTCATGGGGTCCTTAAGTTTTTGATTGCTCACCCATATAAAAAAAATTTTGAACCTGCTTTCTGTATATATAAGGAGCTCTGGCCTAGTTGGTAAGGCATTTGACTGCTAACCAGAAGACCGGCAGTTCAAACCCACCAGTTGCTCTGCAGAAGGAAGATGGGGCAATCTACTTCCGTAAAGATTTGCCACCTCAGAAACCCAATGGGGGTCGCTATGAGTCAGAATCAACTCGAGGGCAGTGAGTTTGGTGTTTGAGTTTTCTATACATATAAATTTTATGAATGCACTACTATACTGATACATATGTTTTAAAACAGAAAATCTAGAAATTTTAAAGAGAAAGAGAAGTTCTAATATAGATCACTTTGCAGACCATTGATCCCCTCTAACCTTCTGCCTGAAGAGTAAGGAGTTTAACTGAGGTAGAAATTGGTCAGATTGCCAACCTAAACAAAGGTACACAGCATCTGAAGTTCTAAGTATCTGAACAAAAGTACTAGTGTAACAGCCAAGAAATGGGCATGGGATGGATGTGGGGATAGCAAGATGAGGAAGATAAAGGAAGAAAGGAATTGAGGTGGAAGAAGCTAAAAAAGTCTATCTAGGAGACAGTAGAAGGTGGCCAGAACTTGTCTTTGATAATGATAGACTTGGTCTGTCTAAGGGGGTCTACCAGTGAGTTTTTCTTTCAGAAATAACTTTGGCTATCATCCTGACTCTACTGGGGCTTGCCATTCTGGTTATTTTACTAACAAGATGGACACGACGCAAGCAAAATGGTGAGTAACAATGAGCTAAAATAGAGATACCCTATGAAACTCATGGGGTGGGAGGCAGGGGGTGGGGGGAGATGCCAAGATTTAGTCTGAGTTTGTATCTCTTTATGAGATAGCAAGAAACTTCACCAAAATTCTGGGAATCTGTTTCAATGCAGGAGTCAAAGAATATCTGACCTATTAGTGATTTCCTTACATTTGAAAAGTCCCAAAATTCACATTGCCAATAATGTCAACCAAAGAAAAAAAAAAATCAGAGATTGAGTTTAACAATAATAAGAATACTTTATAAAAGAAAATTATTTGAGTTCCAAAAGAAACTACCTGAGTAAAAAAAGAGAAAAGACATATTCTAGTAGACACCACTAGCTATTTTTATATAGAAAGAATTAGAGAATTAATTATAGTGACTTAACAGGGAGAGATGATAAGAAGAGACAAAGTGATCTCCAGAAATGGAGATCACAAAAGCAATGATCTATTTCTATGCCGTAAGGTCCTACTTCACAGGACTTTTCTCAGTATCTCTCTTACTCTCTTCTGGTTATCTGAATTCCTTCCCTACTTTTCATCCTCAATGCCTGTCAATCCTCTGAGAATAAGTAGCATAAAAGGATAAATAGAACAGGGATGGATGTAAGTGTCAGAAGTGGAAAACAGTAATATATTATATCAAGAGGGTCATTTGGGGAGCAAAGAACAGAGTTTAGAGCAGAGAGAGTTAGCCCAAGAACACCTCTCACAAGTAACTAAGAAGATTTTTTTTTTTTTTTTTTTTGCTTATTTTTCCATAGACATTGAAGTCTCAAGATACAGTTCAGAACAAAGTAAGTACTTATGAGAAAAAGATAGTAAAGATTTATGTAATTTCCATAAACCCACTGCCATTGAGTTGGATCCGACTCATAGCAACCCCTCCTTGGGTTTCTGAGGCGATATCACTCGAAAGTATATTGCCCAACCTTCCTTCCGAGGAGCGGCTGGTGGGTTTGAACCACCAGCTTTCTGGTTAGCAGTCAAACGCCTTAGACACTATGCTACCAGAGCTCCTAAAGCAGGGACCAAATCTGTCTTGTTTACCATTGTATTTCTAACACCTTGCATACTGTCATTGTGTGAGCTGAACTGCTAAGTTACTGAGAGAACTGGAGATTCCTGATAAGTACTGAGTACCAAACTGAATTTTGGCAAAATGAATTAGTAGTGGGTGGGCCTGCATGATTCTAAGCAGCAACAGAAATACCAAAGTGTCAAAAAGAAATAACAAGTATTGATTTGGGTGTTGGTCACTCAAACTGAGTGACCAACACAACAACACAAAGGAAAAGGAAGACACAGAGACGTGCACAAGAGGTACAGACAACAAAGATAAATGCTTTTACATACACAACACTGCAGTATCAGTAATAACAAACGTTAATCTACAGGTAGATATATAGGTGTTGTTGGTGTTGTTGTTGTTAAGTGCCGTCGAGTCGGACCCGACTCATAGTGAAAGTGAACACAACCTTGGGTTTCCGAGGCAGTATCACTACGGAAGTAGATTGCCCCATCTTCCTTCCAAGGAGTGGCTGATGGGTTTGAACCACCAGCCTTCTAGTTAGCAGTCAAGTGCCTTAGGCACTATGCTACCAGAGCTCCTGGATATATAGGTAGACACGTTAAATGATCGGAATATACCCATGACCATACATAAGCTTGGCACACAATATTTCTACACACATATTTATATGTACTATAAGAATGTCCATATATATAATACAGCTAATAGGGCAAAGTTATGATAACTTCTTAGCCACAGTCAAACACACTGAGGGAATGAGTCACTGGGCCCATAGGCTTGGGACCTTGGTAGAGGGGAACATCAAGCTCAACTGGCAAACATACCACACAAAAACATTATTTTAATCCTACTTTGGTGAGTAGCGACTGGGGTCTTAAAAACTTGCAAGTGATGCAACAATTGGTCTCTCTTCATCTGGGGCAAAGAAGGACAAAAAAAACCAAAGACACACATAGGAACAATTAGTCCAAGGGGTTAGTGGACCATGCGAACCTCAGCCTACATGACTCTGAGACCAAAAGAATCAGATGGTGCCTGGCTACCACCATCAACCCCTAAGAAAGGGATCAAAATAGGAGATAAACATGGAACAAAACTCAAAATCATAAAAAAAAAAAAAAGAACAGGATTACTGATCTGATAGAGACTGGTGAAACCCCCAAGACCATGGCCTCTAGTCATCCTTTGGCCCTGGAATAGAACTCACTCCCGTCTCTTCCAGCCAATCGATAGACACGTGTCTAAGGTGCACATTTTTACACCAGGTACGTACACTCCTTAAAACAATCAGCCATAGGAGATCAGAAGGGCAGTATTTGTACAGGAGACAGCTCAGAGGGCAGGAATGCATAGGAAAGAAGGACACAGGGAAAAGGTAACCACAAGGAAAAAGTGGGAAGAGAGCTATTGCAATGTGGGGATTGCAATCAATGTCATAAACAAAATGTGTTTGAACTATTGAATGTAAAATGAATTTGCTCTGTAAACTTTCACCCAAATCACAATTTAAAAAGAAAATTATAAAAAGGAAGTAACAGACTCCCCTGACAGGTAGTGAAGAGGGCATCGTAAGGTGGCTGGACAGAGTTCAGGCTGGATAGAAGAGTCTAATGTAGCCAGGAATAATGAAAGTGAGCACAGCTAAGGTGATTATGATTGAAAAGGAAAGCACCATGTTCAAGATCTGAAGAGGTAAAGCAGGTTTTCCATGGCAAGGTTCAGAGAGATTCCCAAGTTGCTGAAAAAGATAGCCCAAGATTTGCTAAGAAAGAAAAACAGGAGCTAGGTGCTGGAATATCAAGAGAGAAAAACAACTTTGAGATCCCTCCTCTGATTATTATTTAGCCTGGCTAAATAACATTATAAAACTGGTGACCATTATGGTCAGTTATCACTGCTACTTATGCATAGTCCCTAGTCCTTTCCCTATGAAGTAAATTAATTCACATCATTATTCAACATTGGCAGTCCAAGTCTGCATTAGCTCTCAGATCTTAAATAACGCTTCATTAATATTCAAGAAGCAAAATCATGGAGCTCTCCTTTTCTTCTCCAGGTGGTCTTCTGGATTACGAGGATGGTAGAGGTAACTAGATTAGTACTACTAGAAAATTAATGGATGCATATATTCTTAAAAGAACAAAATGGTCTTCTGTTCCTTAGAGCATGATTTGTTAGGTTAGCACATCTTTTACTATTATAATATCTAACTGCCTATTCACTTCTCTATGCATACATACATATATATGTCTCTGGGTGGTGCAAACGGTTAAGATCTCAAATACTAGTTTAAAGGTTGGGAGTTCAAACCCATCCAGAGGTGGCAAAAGGACACAGCCTTGAAAGCTCTATGGAGCAGTTTACTGTGCAATACATTGGGTACCATGAGTCAGCATCAACTCTATGACAACTAACCACAACAGTGCATCTGTATGGAAGTCCCTGGGTGGTCCAAACAGTTAAGCACTTAACTACTTAACTGAAAGTTGGTGGTTCAAATCCATGCAGAGGTGCATTGGAAGACAGGCCTAGCTATCTGCTTCCAAAAGGTCACAACTTTGGAAAACCTATGAAGCAGTTCTATTCCACACACGTGGCCGCCATGAGTTGGAATCAACTCCATGACAACAGCAATATGTATACATATGTACGTTAAAGAACTGTGCATTATTTCCTCAGAAAAGAACAAATATAAGTCTATGGTAACTTTAAGACCATAAAAGAATTTATTTCCCACTCCCCTGCTTACCCTGAGATCTTAGATTAAGAAATCTCTCTGAAATAATTTCCTGGATATGTAAAATTGGGATAAAATACAAACTTCATCGATTGTTATGAAGATTAAATGTATATATAGTGTATGTGAAAACATATTTTGTAAGCTATAAAATATAATAGGTGAGCACAACTTATATTATTATACATATTTGAGAGAATAAAATTGATGCACAAAAAGGTTAGGAGAATTACCCAGGTTCACATGGTTAGTGAAGGTTGTTAACGGCCATCAAGTCAGGCCCACCTCCACTCATTGCTACCCAATGCACAGGAATCGCACTGTTCTGACCCATAGGATTCTCATTGGCTGATTTTCAGAAATTGATTGCCAAGTCTTTGTTCCTAGTCTTAGCCTGGTAGGTCCACTGAAACCTGTTCAGCATCACAGCAACTCACAAACCTCCACCGACAGATGAGTGGTGACCACACTTGAGGTGAATCAGCCAGGAATCAAACTCAGGTCTCCCGCATGGAAGGCGAGAATTCCACCACTGAATTATTCATTCAGTTAGTGAAGGAGTTGGATATCAAAGCCAAGTTTTCTGACTCTGAGTCCACTACTCATATTTTTATCATTCTACCCTCCTCTTGGCTTATGACTTAAATGATTAATTTTACATGAATTTCCATAACTTATTAATAAACTTATGTCTTGTACCCCAAATCAGGGCATATGGTCTGACATGACTGAGCACACTTGGAATAATGGTAAAGCTTATTTGAGATAAAACTACTCTAGAAATCTGATGATTGTGAGGAGATTCCAAGGCACTGTTACTTTTTTGTAGGGACACACACTCATTTCACTCCTAAATAACCTCATACCCCCACCCCTCATTATTGTCTCTCATCTACTGACCGGGGCAGATTAGGGATATGCCGTCTACTCTCTATCACTGACTCTCCCTTCAGGACTCATCAAGAACCACTACAAGTGCCTCTGTCCTGCTAGGAACCGCAGACATTGTCCAGACTAGTCCCACCAGACAAACTAGGACTAGGGGGTTATGAGGCTGTAAAAGGAGAAACAATAATCTCACACATACACATACTCACACATGCACAACACAAGAATATGGATTTATATAACCAAGAGTTGAGGAAAGAAAAGAGAAGGTAGTTTGGGCTCTCTGCTTGCTGTCCAGCGTCCCACACTTGGACCCTTGGTCCCTTCTTTACTTTCTTTCCTCTGTGATTTATGAGCCATGACCAACAAGAGGTGCAAAGGGCATTGCTCCGCCCCCTACATCTTTCTTTCTGAAATGGAACCCAAAACAAATGGGAATATCTGGGGAAAGTAGCAAAAATTTTTTAGTAGCTGCTTACTTAGAAGCTGAGGAAACTTATTTCTTGATAAGCTCTTAGAAACCTTACTCTATTTTTTTTTCCTCCCCCCAAAAGCATTTTCCTCTCAGAAATCCAAAAGAGGAAGAGGTAAGCAGATGCTCATCTAATATAAAAATAATTTGATAGAAGATGCCAAGGTAGAATCTCACTGTGTTTTCATCTTCTCTTTTAGGGTACCGACACACATATTCAACAGAGAGCGGTAAATAAATCAGATGTTGCATTTCTAAGAAATTAGTACAGAAAACTGTTTATGAGAAATTAAGAATCTTATTTTTTTTTCTTCAATCTTCTAGACACTTCATACGATGAAAGAGGTAAATATATTTGGAGACTATGGTAAAAATTAAAGGAAAATCTTTTTTTTTTTTTTGATGTCATAACTTGAGGGGTTATAAAAGCTACCATGATAAAGAAACAAGAAGGCAAAGTAGCATATAGAAGAGGTGGAGAAACATTCACCTTCCCACTGAGGCACGTTTTTCCTCACTAATATCCAATTTTAATCCCATCCACCTTCCAATGAATTAACAAAATTAATCTGAATACTCAACAGAAATTAAATAGCTAATGCTTTAGAAGTGCTAACCACTTAGAATGCCTTTCTTAATATAATTGTTAAGAAATGGAGGAATAAATTCCTGAAAATCCAACTCATTAGGGTATGGCCTGTACAAAGAAATGCCACACACACAGGGAAATGCTGCTATCGTCTACTGCTGCTATTTACATCTTGTGTTTCTTGGAAAACAAGTTTCCTCAGTAACATTAAACATTGGAACACCACATTTAACCACCACAAGGAACTTCTCCAATGTGGGGAATGAAAAGGTGCACAGGTAAGCAAAACAGAACTATACACAATAGAATGGGAAGGAAATGAGCATGCACGCAGCACCTACTATGTGCTAGTGACTCTGATGGGCATTTTTCATGTTATTTACTTAATATCCTGCCAACATCCCTGTTTACCACACAAGGATGAACTACCCAAAAAATCCCTCCCTAGCTGTCCAAGGCCTCTACAAGCAGCTTTGCTGTAAATTAAAGAAAGGTGCCCCTTCCTCCAGATGAATGCAGCCCCATGCCAGGGAAGCTTCTGAGTATTTCAGTCCCTATACCACTTTGTGCAGTAAACAACGTACATAACCTTAATGCATTGGTCCTTCAGGTAAGTGAGAGGCAACTCGTTCCTGACATGTCCAAAAAACAAGCTCTGGTCCCTCCTACACACAGGTACTGGCACCTGCATTCATCCAGTTGCTCAAATCATCTGCCTTGGAATGATCTTTAACTACTTTATCTCACTCTCTTCATCCAGCTTGTCAGCAAATCCTATCACTGACACCTTCAAATTGTATTCCAAAACAGATCACCATGCCTACCACCACAACCTTAAGCCAAATTCCAATGTCTCTTGCCTGACTTACTGCAATCGCCTCCTAAATGGTCTCCTGGTTTCTACTACAGCCCTTTTATAGTCTATTTTCCTCATCAAAGGGCATCCTTAATAATCGTTCTTAAATCAATCTACTATGCATTGTTATTCCTAATTTAGAGAAATTTAGAGGTGGAAATGTCAGTGGCCTGCCTAACCTGGACATGAACTTAGAATTGTCTGACTCCGAATTTCATGTAGTTATTTTACTCTTATACAATTTAGAAATATCTTAATTATTAATTTTCTGGGTACAGATCTTTAGTGTAAGTTTAACTTCCTTCTATTCCAGGCTCATCTTGCATTCTTAGGGAATAACTTGAATCAATAAATATTTTATTATTGTCTGAATATGCCATCATTTAAAATTTATAAAGCCAAATAGCAACTTATTTAGAGTTTCCAGTCACCTCTAAGGTTGTCCTATAAATCCCAATCATTCTAAATTTCTAAGTTCCCAAGCTCTACTGATCTTTCCTCCATCCATTCTGGACACAGAAATATAAATTTTCTGGTCAACGTGTAACTATGGACATCCTCTGAGAAGTTCTGTCAGTTTAGGTACATGAAGTTTTGTTGTTATGAGCTGTGGAGTCAGACACGACTCATAGCGACCTCTCCTTGGATTTCCGAGGCAGTATCACTAGAGAAGTATATTGCCCCATCTTCCTTCCCAGGAGTGGCTGGTGGGTTTGAACCACCAGCCTTCTGGTTAGCAGTCAAGTGCCTTAGGCACTAAGCTACCAGAGCTTCCTCTCGAAGTTTAGGCACTTAAAACTTCACTTAATTTAAATACATATTATAATGTTGCCATGATAATTTTACAAATTTAAATTCACTGCATTTACTTTTAGTATTATTAATGTTTATAACAAATATAAGTAGCGAGTGCATCATATAAATGTCAGGCATCTCTTAGCATTTTCCAGTTTTTAAAATTCCCCTAGAATCATTAGAAACACCTTAGTGCAAAACAGAGAAGGTTTTACATGCTCTTTGGACTTAATTCCCAACACAACGATATCATGTATAGAAACACACATTTTCAAAAAAGAAACTGAGGGAAAAACATATCTTTTCTTTACTTTTCTGGGTAGATCCTGAACTATTTATATTTTAGTATTTTTGCCTGATTTTTCATGACATGTAACTCATAAACTAAGCCACAAGGAGATTTTGCCTCCAATTTCTTGCATATTTGGATATTTGAGCATTTTGATTGGGTAATCCTCTGTAATGATACTGAACCTACAGAAATAGAAAAGCCAAACTGATTTTTCTTTGATTTGTTTGTTTTCAGAGGGATCCAAAGAAGATTTTAGTAAGTATGCTCTCATTTTTCAACAAAACATTTGCTTTCTGTTAGTAACATTTCCCAAGATTGTCAAATGCTTTGAGGAAAGGGAAATCCTATCCTTTCATATGAAGACAATAAAGTCTGCTCGTGCTGATTCAGAATGGTCAGTCAGCAACCAGCAAGTTTCCAAACTTCTGTGACAAAAGGAAAAGAAAGAGGAAAGGATAAATGAGAAGGAAAGTGATGAAGGTGAAGGGTGGTCACAAGAGAAAAAAGGGAGAGAGAGAGAGAAGAAAGGAGAGAGAGAGAGAGGAAGGAAGTTGGGATGGAAATTGGATAAAATGGAAGCCACAAAATTTTACCTTTGTACTGAAAGGCATCAACCCCTTATAGAGCCTGGAAGGCAAAGAGATAGTAGGTAAGAGTAGCCTCCATGACCTTCCATCAGGTCAGCAGGTCTCCCAGCACCTGGCTCTAACTTCTGAGAGGGGCTCATAATGATTGAAGCTGATAATGCAAAGTTTGGGGATCCAAATTCTGATGATTCATTTGCCTCATGTTTCTCTTGTGTGTGTGTGTTTTAGCACCATCAGCCAGCTCTCTGGGTAAGTCCTTTGTACTTTGCTTTCAGTTTTACTGCCAAATCTGTTTGTAAGTTCTGTCCTTTCTAGGTTTTTTTTTTTTTCTTTTAAAGAACTTTTAAAAATAAAGTATGAAAATAATTAACCCTTTTAAATCTACCCCTTAGATTTAACAACTGATCATGATTTGTCATATTTCTCAACTTACAGTTAATGTTGAAAATCCTTTTGTCATTCTAGACTTATTTTGCTTCCCCGTCCTCAAATTTATTATAAATATTCTAATCTATTTTCATACATTTATATAATCTCTACAACCCCTCCTTGGGTTTCCAAGGCGTTATCACACTACAGAAGTAGATTGTCCAATCTTCCTTCCCTGGAGTGGCTGGTGGGTTTGAACCGCCAGCCTTCTGGTTAGCAGTTAAATGCCTTTGGCACTATGCCACCAGAGCTCCCAATCTCTACAATTTGTTGTTGTTGTTGTTGTTTGCCGTCGAGTCGGCCCCGACTCATAGCGACCCCTCCTTGGGTTTCCGAGGCAGTATCACTACGGAAGTAGGA